ATATATATGTCAGATCTCTTGTCACAGTTGTCCCTTGTCATCAGCTTCATAAAAAGTGTTTGTTTTAAACGTATTTATATTTTTTAGTCAGAGAAATGTCTTATTTGTTTACACAGAGGGGCGGGGCTTAGACTTGTACAGCAGCCAGCCTCTGGGGGGCGCCCCTCCTGTGTGGCATTTAACTTCCTGTTTGTTGTTCTAATCAATCTGACCGGTTCCAGAGCTCTGTGCTTCCTGAAGCTGGAGATGTTCTCCGAGGCCAAGCAGGACTGTGACGCAGCCCTGACCCTGGAGCCAGCCAATAAGAAGGCTTTCTACAGACGAGCCCTGGCCAATAAAGGCCTGAAGGTGAACAGAGCCACACCCTGTCCTGTTCTAGTGTCCTGACATCACAGAGCTGACTCTGACACCGGCTGTGTGTTTAAAGGGCTGCTCACGTGTTGCTCTCTCCTTCAGGACTACCTGGCCTGCAGCTCAGACCTGCAGGAAGTCCTGCAGCTGGACCCCAACGTGCAGGAGGCCGAGAAGGAGCTGGAGGAGGTGACGGTGCTGCTCAGACAGAGCCTGGCCAGTTCTTCACAAGCCAAACCCAGGAGGAGCGTCCCAATCACAGAGGTGCCCACTCTGCTCCACAGAAACCTACAACCTCTGAACACGCACACAAACCTGTTTCTCTCCCGCCTCAGGTTGGCGACGACGAGGACCAGTCAGCCGTTCCTGACTTGGGGACCACCCGCACAGGAGAGGACCCCACCATCAACCTCAAACCCACCAGCGCCTACGACTTCGGCCAGTCCCTGAACGCAGCACGCCGCAGCAGGAACACGGTGGCCTGCGCTGAGCTGCTGGCCTCCACGTCACCAGAGCTGCTCCCTCAGTACCTCGGCTCCCAGCTGGACGCCAACACCGTCGGCTTCATGCTTCAGGCTCTCCACTCACACTTAGTGGAGAAGAATCCAGACCTGGTCTACCAGCACCTGAGCTACCTGCACACTGCTGACAGGTTCCCTGTACGTGTGGATTATAATCCAGCTAAACTCTAAGTAAAAACTGAATGTAGGAATCATTTGAAATGTTTAAATTAAGAAAGTGTTTCAGTTTTAAGAAGACAGATGGTCGCTTTGATTCATCTCAACAGTTTTTCACTTTAAATCACTGACTGACAGTGAACGGTGTATTTTGTATGATAGAGCTTGAAGCAGTTTTGGAGGCTGGCAGGGTGAACTGTTCACAGACGACGATTAATGGAAGTGTTCTGAGTCCAGAACAGAACCAGACCTGGTTTTAATGCAGTGAAGATCACAACCATCTAATCCTGACTTTCAGCCTCTGAGCTCAGATTATAATAATCTGTTGGTGAGATAAGGAGAGTCAAAGTTTTCACAGTTTTTATTTGAGGAACATATTTCTGAAATTTTCCAGTATGTTTAGAGACAGACCGGTGGACCTCTGTCCTGCTGATAATTCATCTAAAYAATTAGAAGCTTTTATTTGGACCATTACTGTCACAACTTTTCAAGAAGAAATGCTGCTATAAAATAAAATAAACCACAGTGTGATATGTTTAATATGTTCCACAGTGAATAAAATACAGATTTATGTATTTAATCATTACAACCTGTTTTTATTTACTTTGTACACAACGTGCCATCTTTTTCAGAAATGTATTTTAATAGAATAAAAGCTTGTTTGTTCATATGAAGTTAAAAGATGTGTAAATAAAGCCTTTCTCCCTGTTTGCAGACGGTGCTTATGCTGCTGGAGGAGGACGAGCGGCGCCGCCTGACTCGGCTGTTTGAGCGCCTCTCGGCTGCGGGGAGCTCAGAGTTCACCAAGAACGACGTTCAGAATCTGGCCAACAAATATATCTGACCCCACCCCCCCCACGCGCTCCCACCCGCCGCCGCACGAGCTGTCACCTCTTCTTACGGTTTGGTTTATGCAAAACAAGAAGCGAGTCCACAGGAAGCTGCGGGACGTGTCCACGGCTGGAGGACAGATCTGATGTAGAACTCAGTGTGTTTTTATTTCTCTCAGAAATGTTGCTCAGCAGACTTTGTGTTTGTCCCAGCTTTCATCACTAGAGTCAGCCGGCAGCAGGGGCACGGTGGGACTCCACATTAACGTACTCAGAACTAGGATTATTTAAAGTTAAACTCCAGTGGTTTTTCCACTACAGATGAATTTACAGGAGAGGCTCACGTCGCCACGTTTGAACTCAGCAGAGTTTTYCAAAGCGACACTTTAAACCGAGTCGTTTGATAAAAGAAGGACTCGTTTAGATTTTTACTGGGCTCAAACAGAAAAGGAGCCAAAGTAAGCGTTTCCCACTCAGTTTTCGTGCTTTAGCACCAGCAAACACAATGTCGCTTTTTATTCAGACCATTTGAACTGTGAGGGACTGAGGTCTGATGTGGTAGCAGCTGGAAGTCGTCTTCAACAGAGACTCAGAGCTGATCTGAGTCTAAACGTGCAGCAGGCCTCAGCAGGGAGGGCCGGGCCTTTAAACAAGCTATGCAACGAGCCGAGGCGTTGAACACGCATCCTTCTTATCGGCAGGTGTTTTGTCTTAATGTGGTCCTGACTGTAGGATCACTCCTGAGCGAAGCAGCATCTTTAACAGATGTTGTGCCTTTCCTTCAGTCCACGGGTCGACCTCCGCTGTTTCACTCATTCTACAAATACTCTTACAGGAAAAAAAATTTTTTTTGTCATTCTCTAGCTTTAATTAAAGATTAAATGTGTTTGGATTTTTGCATCTTAAATTATACATACATTGTCATAGCTGTATGCAAATAAAGTTATTTTTGCTAATTTAAATCATATGTTTATTGATTATTAAATATTAAAAACTGAGGGCTATGTAAATCCAGACTATATGTTTTTAAGTGTTTTTTTTTTTTTATGAATTTGCAAAGTTCCAGGATATAAACTGGGAAAGAGAAGCAATAATTGAACTGTTCAAGGCTGGTCAACATTTGATGTAATCTGTTGCATAAATAATCAACAAAAGCCACCAGAGTCATATTATTTTCTCACAAAGAGTAAACTGCTAACAGGTTTATCTGTGAAAATGTTAAAGAGGCTGAACAGTTGGTTAAACTCAGACAAGTGTTTTCATCTTTCAGGGACAGATGATGATGTCATTGCTTGCAGAATTAATTGTTGAAGGAAATGTTATCAAAATCTATCTGTCGATACCTTGTTTATAAAATTTGGTTAGTTCATAGTAAAGGTATTGGCAGTTCAGTTTCCTGGAACCATTTCTTTGATGGTGGTCAAAAACTAGTACCTGGGGGCAGAGACCCAACTTTGTTTTTACTGTTGTGCTTTTTCTGAAAAAAGTGAATCCTGGGGTCTGAGGTGGGTAGAGCACTAAAAATTAYACTCAAGTTAGAGTAGAACTTCAACAAATTTTTACTCAAGTAAAAGTAAAAAGTAGCCATCCAAGAAATAAAGTAAGAGTAAAAATGTATAAGTAAAAAAGATACTGAAGTACTGAGTAACTGATCAAGACATCAGTCATTTAATATTTAAAAGCCAGATGGACCAAAGTATAAAGCTAGGTGGAAATTTTGGTATTTTAGATCAAAATGAAAATAATTCATAGAAATTTCCTGATGCTTCTCAGTAATCCAGGCAGAAAAAAATCAAAAAGAAAAATTAAATAGGTCCTCTGGATGGGTTCATCTTTATTGAAACATTTCGTCTCTCCTCCAGTTCATAGAAATAGCATAATAACAAAATAATAAATTCAGGTAAAAACAATAATTCCTTATCAGTTTATTTCAGTATAAAATTTATGAAACTAACAGTGTGTGTCTGTATGATGAAGTTTTAGGGAAAACAAGCTTCATTCAGTGAAGTTACTCAAAGCAGGAAGTTTCCAGAAATTTTACTCAAAGAAAGAGTGATACTTCCTAGTAAAATTACTCAAGTAAAAGTAAAAAGTACAGTGTAGTAAAAATACTCCCTAAAGTACATTTTTTTCCAATAAGTTACTCAAGTAAATGTAACTAGTTCCTACCCAACTCTGCCTAAGGTAAATGAAAATACCAGAGGTTCAAGTAGTGGGAGGGATGCAGCGACCCACCATAGCTCTTCTTTMTACAATATATTAGTTATTAAACAGCATAGATTATTATGTTGATATATTTACCCACGTCTTTTAACCCCCACACTAAAATTATTTCCAGGACCGCCTTCTTCCACCTATGTAATATCACTAAAATTAGAAACATTTTGTAAAAATGATGCAGAAAAACTGATTCATGCGTTTATCACGTCTAGACTGGATTACTGTAATTCTTTATTATCTGGTAATACAAAAACCTCTTWAAGAAGTCTTCAGTTAAYCCAAAATGCTGCTGCTAGAGTTTTAATGAGAGTTGAAGGAGATCATATTTCTCCAGTTTTAGCTTCTCTCCACTGGCTCCCTGTCAAATTCAGAATAGAATTTAAAATATTACTCCTAACATACAAAGCTCTTAACAACCAAGCTCCATCATATATTAAACATCTTATTGTTCCATATTTTCCTAACAGAGTACTTCACTCTCAGACTGCAGGTTTACTTGTGGTTCCTGTTTTTTTAAAATAAATCTTATGTTTATGGTTGGTTGAGTTATTCCTTAGTTCTGCTGCTGTAGACGTCAGTTTAGTTGTGAAAAATGTGTGCAGGGTTTAAAATAAAAGAGGAATACTTCAGATAAGAGTTTAATGATGCTTGTATTGCTTTAAAAMAATCAAACTTAAAGGCATTTCTTACATATATATTTTTTATTTTTTTGGATATGCATTTACATGCATATAGTAAAGCAAATTAACAAAGAATTATACAATTTTTTTAAGCTGAACTGCACAAATGAGCATTTTCATCTGGCACTAGTATCCAAATTAGAACAAAAACTGGAATTTTGGTGAAGAATGAGAACAGAAATAAAACAAAAGAAAATAACGTTTTGCTTGGATGCAGGGACGACTGCCGGACATCAGAACCAAACCAAGTGTTCATTCAGTAACAGACCGGAGTTCACCTGAGCCGGTTCAGGGGTCTGAAAGCGGACCACGGGCTCAGCCAACACTGAAATTAACGAGAAAAACCCCAAACACTTTTCAAGTCTGCTCAGCAGCACCGTTTGGCAACACAAACAGGAATCACAGGAAGAATCATCAGGATGGGTCAACACTAAAAAAATAAACTCAACTTGACAATCTCTATTAACCTTTGTGCAGAACATTAAGTCCTGATAACAGTGCAGGTGCCTCGGGCCGTGTTTGCGTAGCATTTGTGAAACATGAAAACAGAAGTCTGTAACTAAAACCCCAGGCTGCTCTTCATTCACGTCCATGGTGTGTTTAAAAAAAAGGGATGCACGAAACTGAGAACGAGATTTATCAATAGMCTGAGTGCTGTCTTTGGTAGGCAGTTGAAACGTTGCTCATGTCTACCTCAGTATGTTCTGCCCCTCCAACACAAACATTCTCTCTGCAGTGAGTTTGACAGCTTCTTGAAGGCACCACGAGTTAACGAAGATATTCTGACCCACAGGAGGTGAGAGCATCGCTGTGAAGAAAGCAGGAGAAAATCTTTTCTCCGTACAGTTCGGAGGATCTGACCCACCTTTACGTTCCAATAACCTGGATGGTCCCTGATTAACTGAAACTCCTCACGTGTATGACCACAGAGCTGAAGTGTGCTCTTTAAGGTAAAACTTCAGCTACAGATATGAAGTCAGTAGTTAACGAGCTGCTGAAGAGCCGCTGAGCACCATCGCTGGGTCTGGGTCCAGACCAGGATCTGACTGGGCAAGTGGGTGACCAATGTTTGCAAAGTTGAATTTCCTCCCACGAGTCACCGACGTTAAGTCGTGAGAGGGAATCTGTATGTTCTGAGTCAACGATGTCAGTCCGGTGACATCCTGCTTTAGCTGTGAGTTAGTTTTAGAGCTAAAATAATTCAGGGTAAGGAGCCCAGGCCTCAAACCTATACATCAGGCTTCATTTCAAATCAACGCCGAAAAGGAACAAAATAAATACGGACTAGAAAAACTACAGTTCTCCACGTTAACGTTACATTTTGGGAAACAAAAAAAAAAAGAAAGTCATATTGCCTGGTCCCTGTCTGAGATGGCCTCTGGAAAGCAGAAAGACTCTGTAAAACAAAACAAATCGTAGCAAAAGTGGCACAGTGGTTTTATTTCAAAACGATGTGCTGCAGCAACATCAGAGCGCTGCGTTGTGTTCGGATCGTTAGGCCACACAGACAAAAACACAAGCATTGATAACAACCTGAACATTTGCTGCATGGCTGCTCCGCCCCATGAAAACACAGCAGCTGCTTTATTCTGGAGTCGCTGTAAAAGAAGAGACCAACAACGCAGAGGAAACTCAAGCAGTGATTGTTAGTGTAAAGAAAGAAATGATGTTAAATATAAACGGTGCAGCACTTAAGGTGTGGAGTTTTAAATATCAGTCTGTATACAGGAGCTCCTGGCCTGCTGCTGGCTGTGGGCTGGTTGTTGTGGTTGGTTGTTGTTATTTTCTTTCAGCAGCTCTCCGGTGTTGCTGTGAGAGTCCAGCTCAGCAGGACACACCAGGCTGACGTTCTCCTCCATGATGAAGCAGAGAGGAGGCGGCTCCGAGCCGCTTCCCAGAGAAAAGGCGATGGAGGTGGGGGACTGGGGGGCGATGGTGGCTCCGTGTCCCTGCGATGAGGACGAGGAGGCGGGGCATGTCTCTAGGCGGTCGTTCTCCACCTCGGGCAGGGGGCTGACGGTGGCGAAGCGTAAGTGGTAATCGGCGCTGCTGGAGCCGTGGCTACAGGACGTCTTCATGCTTTCCAGGTCGGAGCCGCTGAACTCGGAGAAGTGGCTGGAGTGCGAGTCGGCCACAGAGGGCAGGCTGCCGCTCAGCGACGGAGAGTCAAACTCCGAGGAGTTGGCGTTATGCTGCTCCAGAAGCTGAGCGTCCAGCTCCTCCCGCGTTTCGTTGATCTTTGTGGCCCCGCCTCCTTTCTTGCGCAGTTTGCCTTTACTCTTTTTGCCTCCTGAGCTGGAGGAGGAGCACGAYGCCTCTTTGGCCCACTTAGCGGAGGTTCCTTTGCCTTCTGAGGAGGTGCCACCGTTGGAGGGGTAAGTCCAGCCGCAGCGACCAGCGTGGCTGTCGTCTGCACTGCTGCCGCCGCTGTGATGTCTGCGCTTCACTGGTTTAGACTCAATGTCCACCTGGACCTCCAAACTGTTCCCCTCTCTGGAACACAAGAGGTGAAACAAGATGAAGCCAGGAGGGTCAGGTAGGTACGTCAGGTTAATTTTAGGGTAAATGGTCAGGGTTAGGATATAAAATTACCAAAAAATGAATGGAGATCAATCCACAGTCCCCACAGGGATTTAAAAACGTGTGTGTGTGTGTGTGTGTGTGTGTGTGTGTGTGTGTGTGTGTGTGTGTGTGTGTG